GATACTATGGCCTCCCTGAGTAGCTTTGTCCTTTGTATCATACATGCATTTAAAGCCTCCTGATAGCTGCTTGAGGCTGGAAGTGGAAATACTCATGGATTGCTCTCCCCTGTGTTTACTTTATATGTAGGTTGGATGGCTGAATAGGGTTACATGGCTTCTTAAAACCAATAACTGCCCAGTAACTGCCCAGTAACCGGACTGGAGCAGAAACCTAGACATAGCCACTTCCTGGAAAAAAATTGGGATTCTTCTGTGCTTTTAGGACTGTAAGCAACAAAAAGAATGAGAAATGTTATTTGCAAACAAGTCTACTTTTACACCTCAGTTGTGGTTCCTAATGCACAATTGATATACTATGTATCCAATATTGTTATCTGATAAACAGTAAAAAAAAAGTGTGAATAAACACTAGTAGAGTTTTTTAAAAAAACAACAACAGCTGAATGATATCCACACAAGTGATGCTAACAGAAACCAGGTGGCCTCCACTAAGGAAAATAGTCATATCCTAACAACAGTCAGTTTTCTCTCCAGATATAACATCACCCATCACACTAGGACAAGGGCTGAATGCAACAGATAGGACTCTGAGAGCTGGCTTTCTTGCTGAGCATAGAATTTGGTGCCATTAATTTAGAAATTCTATCAGAAAACATGGTGTGTTTTTATTAACAGAAATTCCTCTGCATTTCCCTAGTTTGTCAAATGTCATTTTTTTCCTGATAGAGACAAACTTTACACATTACCAGCTACTCTATCAAATTATGAGAACAAATATATCAACTCAACATACAATTCTGCCATATAATGAAAAATTGATTGCAAGTGAAGAATTGCATACAGTACTAGAGCAGTATATTGCTTCCTTTGGAGTTTTTTGCACTGCCTACAAACATAATCAAATGTCAATCATTCACATTTACAGTCATGATCCTGTTGACATTATACAAGGGAATGACCATGGAGAGTGCAGACTAGATAGAGCCTCTCTATGAGACATCATAGGGGTCTTCTGGCAGTTTTCCCACACTGCTTTAACTGCCATGGCTCCATGGTATAGAATTTGTAGTTTTGTGGGATATTTAGCCTTCTCTGTCAGTGAGCTATGAGGTCACAACAAACTGCAAGTCTCAGGATTGCAAAAGATGGAGCCATGGTGGTTAAAGTTGTGTCAAATTGCACTAATTCTGCAGTGTGGCAACAGCCACAGTTTAGGCAACCAAAGAAAAGATGTGAGCAAAGTTACCATAGGATTGCTAACACAGGAAATATTAACGTTATTGTTATTACTATTGTAATTATTTCTATCCTGCCTTTAACCCAGTGTTTCTCCATTATTTTCTGTCACGCCCCCCCTAGGAAAGAAGAAAACATTTTGCGCCCCCCCGCACGATCACATGGGCGGGTTTGGCCAATCAGGATAGAGCTAATGGGGCTGTGCTGGGACAATCTCCCTCTCTCCAGCCGTAATGGGGCCCCCTTTATGGAGCCTCGCGCCCCCCCTGGGGGGCCCGCCCCACTATTTGAGAACCGCTGCTTTAACCCAATGTGGGACTCAACACTGCTTACAGCAGTTGAGAAATAGTTAAAAATTCACACCATAAATAAGTTAAAAAGCAATTAAACTATTTTAAAAACCAGTTAAAAATATAAACCATTAGAAACAGCAGCAACAAATAAAAGCCTAGCATGTTCCACAAGCTTGTTTCCCCCAAACACCTGATTATCAGAGGCTTAACAGAATAGGAAGGTCTTCACTTTCCTGCCTAAAAACAGGAAGGAAAAGATAAGGAGTATGCGATCTCTAAAAGAAAGTTTGAGAGCAGCCACTAAAAAGGCCCTCTACTGTGTTCCGACCAGTTGTATCTGCAAAGGTGGAGGGACAGAGATCTCTAAGTGTGAATAGTTTTTGATGTCTCATTCCCTGCAATGCTAGAAATTTGGTATTTTGTTTTTGCATGCTTTCAAGTTGCTTCCAACATATGGCAACACATTGGCAATATTTGTTCTGAAGAGGTTTCCTATTACCTTCCCCTGTGATTGAGAATATGTGACTTCCTCAAGGTCACCCAGAGGGTTTTATGGTTGAGTAAGGCATTGAACCCTGGTCTCCAGAGTTGTAATCCAACACTCAAACCACTATGCCACACTGGAACTCAAGGAAAATGTCATGGGAGGTCAGATTTTTATCGGGGGGGGGGGACATGACAATTTGCTCATTTATACTCCTTCTGCACCTTTGAGTTGCTTGATATCTTATGGGTTTCTTGCATTTTCTTTTAGCGCTGTTTTCACAGCATTTGTGTTATGTTTTAACAGTATTTTTATTGCTGTGCCCTTTTGAATTATCAGGATGGTAATGAGAGGAATACATATTTTAAATAAATAAACTAAGAATAAATAGTGCCACTGCATATTACTCAGGGACATTATTTGCTTTATAGGTTTCTTATTTTTTCCCTGCTAATCCTCATTTTCTTCTTTAATGAGTGTTGCATTCTGAATCAGTGTTAGAACAAGCATTTTGAAAGAGAACTTGAAATGTGAGTTTGCACTTTTAAAAAATGGGAGAAATCACTGGATTAAAATATTAAAACATTGAATATATACATTTTCAATTTAAAACAATATAACCAATGGTAAAGCTTGTTGCTTTTGAAATGGGGTTGCTTTTGTTAATCACAAGCATGTTCAGAAGGGTTCCTGCTTTATGAAAATAAAGACCTAAATGTGAACATGTATGAACTCAATACCTGCAACAAATGCCAGAATCAGAAAAAGTGCTGTCATTATTAGATTAGGATTTCAAATAGAGCTGGAGTGCATAACGCACACATTTTATAGTTGTTCTGTTGGAGACAATGATGCTTCACCAAGGTATGCTGATTGTACATTTTTAGCTTTCCTTTCTTTTAAAAACATTATTATTATTATTGCAACAAAGGACTACTTAAATATATCCCGAAACACTTTTAAATTGATAACCTCAAATTGAATGGACATCCACCAGATTGATGTAATTCATTCTGCTTTGAATGAAATAAAATAGTTGAAATCTGGTTCTGTAAAGTGTTACCATGCTGTTAGGACATATTGAAAAGATAAAACTGTTCTTTCAAATGAACTCTTTTGAGTGAAATTGATCCAGAGGACAAAAATATTCAAGTTGCTTGCTGACCTTTTCCATCCCATAGACGAGTATGTATAATGCATTATTCTGCCGGGTATGCATTTCTTATTACAAAGTAATAAGGGCTTCAGTGCTTTACATGTGACCATTAGAAAGATAAGAACATAACCCAGCCTTCATAATGTAATTGAGTGCTTCAAAAATATCTCTAAAGATTAATATACCAGACATTATGCAATGCTCCTACAAGGTAATTTTGGCTTGACACAGAATAATGAATGTTATATAGAACTTTGGTAGCTGAGAAGACATGAGGCCCCCAGGCAGCTATTGCTTGTTGTGAGCTAATCACAATACACAGTGTGGGTGTACAGAGCTGCTTCATTTATATTAGCAAGGCACCCATTTCTTTCTGTTTACATTACACCACCCAAAGAAAATCCTGTGCTCACCTAATAGAAATATTAAGTTCAGACAACATTCAGAAGTTCATTTTTCAATGTTTAGTCCCACTGTTTTACAGTATGAAGCATGATCAGGATTCTGTCATCACTATAATTGCCTAAAGGCATCCACAACATCTAGTTTTCACTTAAAAAGACATAAAGGAATCCAGTAGCACCTCTGAGACTAACTGGAAAAAAGAAATTTCTTGCATTAACCTTTATAGACCACAGACCACTACATCTGATGCACCAATGGGAATATAGTGTCAAGATCAAGGGAAGTAATAGTATCACTCTATTCTTCTTTGGTTAGAACTCATCTGGAATATTGTGTCCAGTTATGGTCGCCACAATTCAAGAACGATATTGACAAGCTGGAGCATGTCCAGAGAAGGAAGATGCAAATAGTGAAAGATCTGGAAACCATGCCCTATGACCTGATTATGTTTAGCCTTGAAAAGAGAAGGTTAAGGGGTGACATGGTACCCATGTTTGAAGGGATGCTACATTGAAAATGGAGCAAACTTGTTTCATGTTGCTCCAAAGACTAGGACATGGACCTGTGGATGCAAGCTATAGGAAAAGAGATTCCACCTAAGCATTAGGAAGAACTTCTTGATGTTAAGAGCTGTTTGACAGTGGAACAGTGGAACATGCTTCTTCAGAGAGTGGTGGAGTCTTCAAGGGCCACAACAGTTGGGTTTGGGGGCCATAGTTTTCTGACCTCAGATATAAAGGCATCTCTTCTTCCCTTCCCACATTGTCAAGAAGATATGAATGATTTCAGTCCTCTTCTGCCTGGTAAGCTTGGGCCAGTCATTATATCTCAGGGAAATCTACTTCATGGGGTTTTCTGATGCAAGGGGAAAGGCATGTTGCCTTGAGTTACTGGAAGAAATGTCAGATACAAGCATAAAAAAATATAATAAAAATGTTTGGGTAGATATGAATGCAGATTACCCAAGCTTCCTGTCAGGAAAAGAAACAGATTGGTCCAACCCTAAAAGATGATAAATGGCAATCTGAAGGCTTCTAAAAGGTCCTATCCGGTTCTAGCAAATTTTAAATCTGATGTTAAGATGCATTACATAGGCTAAATTCAATTGTTACTCACAGTCAGAGCTGACATATTGAAACCATGGAACTTATGTGTTGATTTTCCCATTCCCAGTAATCTAACAATTGTATTTAGTTCAGCTGGTGTCCATTAATACAAAATGGATTAAAGCCTATGTATGTACATCTATATGAGTCAGAGATACCTTGCTTCAATACATTTTTGTTGTTGTATGTCATCAAGTCATTTCTGACTTATGGCAACCCTAATGGTATTTCTTGGCAAGATTTCAGAGGAGGTTTCCCATTGCCTTCCCCTGCACCTGAGAGCATGCAACTTGCCCAAAGTCACCAAATGGGTTTCATAGCCAAACCAGGAATTGAACCCAGGTCTCCAGAGTTGTAGTCCAACACTCAAACCACTATGCTACACTACAATGTATTCATGTTTTATGATTGTTTGTTTCTTGAAGCTGAGAGTATGAAAATGTGAATCCTCTGAAAGAACAATGTCTGCCTTCCAAATATACTTCTGACGTTTTCTGAATTTTTGTGCTCCATATCCTACTAAATGGTAACCCTGTGTACATACTGAAAATGTCATTTACATGATAAATAAGAGCCTAATGCCCACCTATTCATTTCAAGGCCTACATCTGGAATGATCTATCATACTGTTGATAACTTACATATTCATCATCAAACTGAAAGAAAGAAGTTGGCAGCATGAGCTTTTGTAGACTTCCTCAGATGGATCTATGGCCCAAAACAGATGGGCCAAATAAACCGGCTTCCAGCTGCATTTGGGGCATAGTGTTTAGGTGGAAACCACACCAAGGCTTTACAAAGAACTGGGCCAAAAAGGAGCAGTAAAATACTGCTACTTTTGCCAGCATGGTTCAAAACTGGATCAGGGCTGGTTGCATGTTCTTGCTGTGGCTCTGGTGTGAATCACAGTGGAGCAACTGAGGCCCACTTTATTGGGTCTGTCTGTTTCAGCCTTACAAAGGCTTGTGATGCCAACTTCTTGCTTTCAGTTAGGGCCTCTACTGATGGTGCAAAGTGCCATCTTGGAGACAGGGAAGGGAAGGGGCAGCCACACACCGGGAAACCCCAACCCCTTCCCGAGGACGTCATCACAAGTATAGGTAGGCCATTTGTTTAAACCAGACTTTTTATGCCTGGAAGAAACTATGATTATTTGTTTGTGTGCAGTGAATATGTTGGACTGTTGGTAGTGTTAGCCTCCTTACACCCCTCCTCTTTTGATCATAGAATCAT